CTGCTTCACTCCCTTAAGCCTGTAGGGTAAATCACCAACATTGGCCATGTACAAATATTATCTGCCTTGAAATGAACCTACACTCCCTCTCTCGGGACTCTTGTTTCCTGTTTAAAGTGGAAAAGGGAGAGAGGAAGAATTCCAGGCCTTGGACTTTCAGGACCCTTGTCCTCCCCGGAGATTTCTCACTTTTAAAACAGAACACTATAAAAGACAGGCCCTCCCGGTTCCACATGAGAAACGCCAGACAAAGTGCTGATGGACCTGAAGCCACCCTCAGAGATACTAACAGGATACTGAATTCATGGGTGTTAGAATTCCTACTCCCACCAAATTGACCTGATTTCTACCATACAGATTCTGACACAAAATAAAGGTGCTTGTCCTTAAGGTTACACATGTCTTACAAACATACTTTGGTCTAACAAAGACACTTATTGTAAAACGTGCCTGGCTTCCTTTTCCTCCTTGCCTACCTGGATTTTTTTTTTTTAAAAAAAAAAAAACAACAACCCAGTTTTGGCATTGGGAGGATGTTGAAGGGGGGCTGGAGATACACAGATTTTAGTACTGGATTGCAGCAATGTGCCTGCAGCAAAGAGTGCAATACAACTTGACCTGGAAAAGAATGATCCTACTGTAGTTGCATGTGCCTGCCTACAACAAACAAGTGAAACAGCAGCTACCTCCAGAATCCTTTAGAGGATATGTGTGAACAATACGTAGAACAGAGAGAGAAAAGGAAAGAGCAGGTAAGCATCCCAAACCAGCTACCTCCCCACCTGATTTAGAAGGAAATGTTGATCTGTAAATATGGCAACCAAGATTTATAGAGATTTATAGAGATTATATTTTGGAATGGAATGGAATGGAAATGTGATAAAATTAATAATTAAAAATGGTAACAAAATTGGAAATCATAAAAAAGTGGAGGCTGGTGAAGGAAAAATTAATTCCTGGAGGCAATTTGGAGAAACACTTCAGATTATCTTTAGAAGGTTCAAACTGGTTTTCTTTACTCATGCAGAGCTTACCTGACTTGTTTCATTTCTTGTGTGCCTAGTGTTAGTTCTAAATTAAAATTTGGTGAAACAGATGGAACTGCTTTCTGCCTGTGGTATCACATTTTCTATTTAAGAAATACTACCCACAAATGCATTTACTGAATTGAGGAATATATGTATAAGCAAGAAAAGCAGCATTAACAGCTGTTCTGTACTGACTTGAAAAATAATATGGCAATACTACTGATTCGCCACCCAGCTGCAGACCAGTATAGGAGCCCCTGGTGGCGCAGTGGGTTAAAGCACTGAGCTCCTAAACTTGTTGACTAAAAGGTTGCAGGTTCGAATCCGGGGAGTGGCATAAACTTCTGCTGTCAGCTTCTGCCAAACTAGCAGTTCAAAAACGTGCAAATGTGAGTAGATCAATATGTACCGCTCCGACAGGAAGGCAACGGCACTCTATGCAGTCATGCTGGCCACATGACCTTGGAGGTGTCTACAGACAACGCAGGCTCTTCGTCTTAGAAATGGAGATGAGCACCACACCCCAGAGTCGGACACGACTGGACTTAATGTCAGGGGAAAACCTTTACCTTTACTACCTACTGATACACCACCCAGCTGCAGACCAGTATAGGTATTGCAAATCAGTCTAATAAACCACAATTTGTTTGACCAACGGCAAGCATTTTATTTGCATAACAATTCTGCGATTTAATTCTTAAATACAAATCCTATCGAGGATGTGCTTCTCATGCATCTGTGGCTTTTACCAAATTAATATTTTTGCATATTTCTTTGCATCTGATCTTGATGCTTTTTTTAATAGGATGAAATTATCTATTACACGTTGCTGAGGAAATCTTTTCTTGGCCCAGTGCTATGCCTGTCTCCTTGGAAGAAACAAGTCCCTCTAAGCACTAAAGTGTGTTTAGGATTAGAGGCCTTTAAACCTTGAACAAGTTGAGTGGTATTTATATTAAGGCCATGACTGCTACTTGGACATTTCAGATCCCAGTGGGAAGATCTGCCAAAAGAAGCACTTTGTGATAATCTTGCATCATCTCCTGATCCTTGTATCAGGGGTATTACACAGGAACTCGCCCAACGATATTGATCATAAGTCCCTGGCTTTCTGTCAGCAGATTAAGAAGGGAAGAAAGGCTAACCATGAGCTTGTGGATATGTGCACTGGAATTTTTCAGTCCCATTGTGGATTTTGCTTGCTTGGCTTTTCTTTGGGATTCTGAAAATTTGCTTTGATCACAGTAGTGACAAAGTCATCTGGAAATTATCTCAATTTAGGCCCATTTCTCTGTGGTGACTGAGCTTCTTTTTCTAGCCTTTCTTGAGGGTTTCCTGAAGAGACAATTGGGAAGATTAATCTTTACTTTTACATTCACTCCATTGATGAAGGAGCAAATCTTATTCCACACTGACAGTTTATGAATGAAACTACTGAGGTGGCTCAAAACTGAATGAAACTGACTGACCAAAATAATCCTATTCCTTCACACAGAGTGTCAGATTTAAATTATTCACAGGATGTGGTGATAGCCAATATCTTGGATTCAGAGAGGGTTAAATCAGTGGATACTCATAGTTGCCCTGCCCATTCCTGGTTTCCACAGTCAGTGTATCCTTCTCCCCCTACTCCCACCAATCTGCACTGATCTCACCAATTTGCAGAGCAGGGTGAGTGAACTCAGGGTTGCCCAGGGAGCTTTCCCCAACTTTTCACATGACTTTAACTAAAACTTGCAGCACACATACAGGAATGTGAAAGGCAACATCTGGTTATATTCTAACAAAGATATTGTTGGGTTGTTGTAGGTTTTTCGGGTTGTATGGCCATGTTCTGGAAGCATTCTCTCCTGACGTTTCACCTATATCTGTGGCAAGCATCTTCAGAGGTTGTGAGGATGCTTGCCACAGATGCAGGCAAAATGTCAGGAGAGTATGCTTCTAGAATATGTCCATACAACCTGAAAAACCTACAGCAACCCAGTGATTCCAGCCATGAAAGCCTTCGACCATACAAAGATATTGTTGTTTTTCAAGTTGTTCCTCACTTCTGGGGTTTTCTTGTTGTCTGTCTTCAAGTTGTTCCTTACCCTATCATGGGGTTTTCTTGGCATGATTTGTTCAGAGGGGCTTGCTTTTCTCTTACTTTCTCTTGCTGTTGATGACGATGTTTTTGATATTACTAGTTGTTGTTAGATTATGTCTTGTAATCTGCACCTATCCCTCCATGTTGTACACCGCTGTGAGTCGCCCCTGGGCTGAGAACAGCGGTCTATAAGCACAGCAAATAAATAAATAAATAAATAAATAAATAAATAAATAAATAAATAAAGTTTGAACAAGGCTTACCCAAAGCCACCCAGTGAGGTTCCATGGTCAAGCAGAGATTTGAACCCTGGTCTCCAGATTCATAGCCCAACACTCAAAATATTCCTATGGAATGAGATTGAAAGATGTGTTTGGGAGAGCGTCTTTATGGGTTTGGTTTTGCATATTCAGCCATTATGACTCAAAGAATGGGATCGTGTGATTTGAGCACTACTTCTTCTGTGTATTCCTTTTGTACCCCATTTTAAATGGTGCAAGTCTTTCGACAGTCAGTCTGAATGAAAACACTGAACTGTCACACTGGACAAAGTCCTGCCTCCCGTTTGTTCTTATCCAAGTCTTTTCCCTGACTTGCTTGAGGTGGATTTTTTTTTTGCTACATCGGAGCAGCCATGCACCTCAATATTGCTTAGAGAAACCAAGCTTGGCTGTCTTCCAAGGCTCCATCCTTTTCTCATGCAAGCTGGATCAAATTTATGGAGGTTAGGAAAAGGAGTGCAATTGCACAGATTCAGCATTTATTTCACACAATAGCATTTTAAAAAACATAGAGGTAGAACATGTATTTACAACACACACGCAAGGATGTGTCACACAACAGCATTTAGACTAAACTCAATTTGCACTAAGACCTACTAGAAATCACAGTATCTATTTTTGCATCTCACAAAAATGTTGCAGTCAGCCAATTTCTCCATTATTGTTTCTGTAACTGTGGAAATATTTTAGTCTAATCGCTTTGAGTATTTGTGGTTCCTGAGTTGACATCTACATACAACAGTTATTTATTCCGTGTAACACTTATCCCAGCTTTATCCTTATTAGAAGAGAATCCCTCATTAATGTAAATCCTGGAATTAAGACAGAGAAACTACAGAAATGACTCCATAATCAGGCCCCCTGACATTACACTGTCACGTGAGTTGCCTTTTTCCCTCATGCATCAGAGCTCGACAAATACTTTTGGAAGCCGACAAGTTACAGAGATCCCTGATTCTAGCTTTCCCAGTTTCCTGTGTACATGTGAAGGAAAAGAGAAAGAGAAACAGTGTGTGTGTCCATCCTGAAACCTTACTGGCATCTGGCCCACTAAACACAGATACTATATATCCTTCATATTTCCTTCTGAGTCTTCCAGACTTTCCATCTACAGGGATTAAGAGAGTTTTATGGACTGACATGTTTGAGACAAGAAAATTGGCCAAACAGCTCTGAGGTGTGAATATTGGTGTACGGGAGTCCTTGGGAGGTTTGCTGGGGATGCTGAACGAACTCATCTGTTTATCCTTAAGCCAGATAAGCCACAGTTAGAGGCACACCACAGAAAGGGTCTTTGTTTTCCATTCTTGCTGAGGGATCGTGAGTAGTTTTGCATGATGAGCCAGGGGATTCCAGTGGTGCCTCTTTGTCAAGGAGCTGCTATGCATGCTCAACTTTTCTGCCTGACATCTTCTGTGTTTTGCCTATCGAGCAGCATGAGACTGGGGAAGCCTTTCTTCTCTTTTGACTTACTTGGGCCATTTGCTACAAAGGCAGGTATTTCTTGCCCCAGGCAAAGGGAGAACTTCAAATGAAAATGATGCTAGGAATTCAATTTACAACTGAATGCACACACATCCTTTAAAAAATTATTTCTCTTCCCAGGCATGTACCTGTAGAACCAGTGGAGTACATAACAGGACTACGAGCACCATACAAAGAGAGAGATCTTCCTTACTTTCAAGGAGGCCAGCCAACAGGTCATCCTTCTAAAGGGAGCTATGTTCACTCACACGATGCCTCGAGGCCAGCAGAATTGTGGTATACTCAGTATTACCCAACACAACCAGTGTCCCAGCATAAAGGACCCCTTCGGCAAGATGTACCCCCATCACCCCCTCAAGGTCACAGGGTTCTACCTTACAACGAAATGGGAAGAGTGGCCCCCCGTCCATCTGGTCCTGATCACTATCAATATAGGCATCAAGATCCACGGCAAAAGGATCCCATGACTGCAGCTGTATAGCTTAAAGTTGGACTATTCTTCACATCTAACAAGAAGAAAATGGACATCATCTTTCAGCTGGCACCACCGAGCTTGGCTACCCCAGGACAGATGTCCTTTAACTGTGGCTAGTCAGCATCCAGGATATATTCCGAAATGTAATACATGCTCGTACAAAGTGGTACGTGACTTTTAGGTAGCAATATATCGGAGAGTATTTTTTTAAAGTTGCTTGTAGGTAGAAGGTGGTAGATGAAGAAAAAGTGGCATTTCCAAGCACACCACAAAGTGCCATTCAGGGCTGTTAGCAACTGTCATAAGCACATATTCCAGGACTCTTGTTCTGGAAAAGTTTCAGAAAAGGTATCTATCTAATCAGTGCAATTATGTGTGTACTTAGTATAGACCACCTTCAACTGGAGAATTTCCAACTTGAAGGATCCCCTGGCAGGTTAACAAGGGGCTTCATTTGTGTTGGGAAATGTATTCCACTGATGGAATAATGTTTGTTTTTTTGCAATTTTATCAGGGGTTATCACTCACATTTTAACCTTCACAGTGACCTTCTTCATTTTCCCTCTGGGGATATTGCATTTTCTGTCTTTCTTCTGTATTGGTCACATATCATGATTCTCTCTCTCTTCCCTCCTGCCTTCAGTTTTCTAATATCAAAGAATATAGATAGACAAATGGAGGAGGAGTTTGATAATCTGTAGTTGAAACCAATGACTTGTGAGGGCTCCAGGAATTATATATGCAACAATGGGATGTTTTTGCCTTTGGGTTGGGAGACTTGGAGAGAGCTGGTTCCCCACTGGTGACATCACCATATTTCAACTAATAATTATACACTAGTACAGTGGTTCTCAACCTGGGGTCCCCAGATGTTTTTGGCCTACAACTCCCAGAAATCCCAGCCAGTTTACCAGGTGTTAGGATTTCTGGGAGTTGAAGGCCAAAAACATCTGGGGACCCACAAGTTGAGAACCACTGCACTAGTAACTGGCAGCCCATGGAAGGCCAGACTCACCGCTTGTGGGACATTATTTGGTCCTCACTATTGCTAATACCCTTCCCTAAACAAGAAGGATGTGGGGAAGAAGCAGTCACACCAGTAATACAATCCATTGACAGCATACTTATTGGCCCTCCCAGGAGAGTAATTGTTGAGTGCGTTTGCAACATTGTGCTGCTGTGCTGTTTTTGGCTTGACTGAGCTGGCTTCCCGCCAATCCCAGAAAAGAAGACCTGGCTACATGTCATACAACATCCCATTCCATGGCAAGAAGTCCATGGCAAGAAGTGGCAGCCTTTTGACATACAGTATATATGTTTCTCCTTAAATACCATAACTTCTAGTTATTCCAAAAAGGGAGAACAGAGAAGAACAAGGCTCTACTCAAATGGAAGCTGGACATTGCTGGCAGACAGAGAACCATTGCTTGCAGGTTAGTGGGAAATGTAGGAAGGCATCCTTTCAATATTCTAGACCTGCATTTGTCACCAAAGCTAACCTAGTTGACCCCAACATTTTGAAAAAATCCAGCATATCTTTTTAATTCCACAGACTTTGACATCAGAGGCATTTCAGGCCTCTGCTTCAGCCCATTTTCTGGGAGGGAAAGACCTTGGGTCTAGCCACGGAAATGTATGAGGCGATGGGTTGGTTTTCTTTTGGTATGCAGCAAATTAACAGGATTCATTACATAGGTCATCTCATAATTATTATATATCGCACTGAGGGGTCACCTACGAGGCACAGCCATTTATCATTTAGCCTTTCTGAAATGGCTTCATTATACCGGGTGGCCTCAGGAGACATGGCGCATAGTGAATCTATCACGCACACAAATTTGCGTTGCTGCATTTCAGAGTGTCAGCTCTTTTACTGCCCATGAAAGATTCAACGGTTTTATATGGGATCCACAGGCCCTGCATTGTTGTCCTGAGCATTAATATTCAGGTAAGTAATTGAATTTTAACCAAACTTGCAGCCTCAGATTCAAAGTCCGCGAGTAATGATTAGTGCGTTTTGAATCCAAGGTAGGATGACCTATCCTTCCTAGATCTCAATGTCATATACATTGCTAAACAGAAGTAAGGAAATGGCTTGAAGCATGCTTCTGTGATTAATTTTAACAGGGAAAAGTCAACAAGAAATGAATTGTCCATGTCATTATCCCTTGGTTATTTATTTCTAAAAATGCACCCTAATGTGAAAGATATTCATATCAAAGACAATGGCTATTTCCAAGAAACGAATTTAATTTCAGGTGGGTGTGAATGAGTGGCTAGAAATGACTTGCAAGACATCATTTCTTGTGTTGCCATTTCTCATGAGTTATTTGCAATCGTTTGGTCCATTTTAAGTGGGCAACTGATTTGACTGTTGTGTTAGTTTACATAGTCTAAAGTGAATGGCAAGTTGCTGGTCTTAGTTCTTGCATCTTGTTTAGCATCAGAACTGAGATAGACCACTACAGTATAGAAGGAAAATAGTGACTTTTTAAAAATATGATATTTTATGAAATATATCAAACATGCAGACATAAAAGAACATGAACAATGTTGATGAACAATGTAGCCGCTGGTACCTACAGTCAAATGGGCTTTGAAAAGTGCTATTTGATAAATCCTGATCTGTGGTAAGTTTCCCCACTCAAACCTTATGAAGCCATTCAAGACCTTCTTTTTGTATTTGAATTTGCATTATTATTTTTCTTTTTGCTCTCATTTCAGTTCCTTCTTTCAGGTATGCAGTACATTTTGAAAAAAGCACATAGTGTTTGACACTTTCTGTCTTCTTTACCACTTCAAACTATGTCAGGTATTTGCTGTGTTTATAATTTGCTTGCAAACACTGACCCATTACTCAGTACTCTCCACACTGAGTGGCGAGTGTTTGACTTTTCTTAGTCAAGTAGAGCCAAGTTGCCTTTCTATCAGACCAGGGTCATGTAAGCAAATCTTGGGAGTCTGTTCCCTGTGTTTCAACTCTCTTATATCATGTTAGACCTTGTCCCTGGAATCATTTTTTAAGAAATTGGCCTCAGGAACATACAAAGAAACAATCAACAGAAAGTACCTCAACTTTCATAAGAAGCAGGATAGACACAGAAGTTCTTCAACAAAACCACTTTTACAAACCCCTTTGGGGTGCCACACTTATGCCTATGATCGTTGCAGGAAAAACCACATAAACCAAGGATTCTGAGGTTTTAAAAAAATGACAGTGGTACGATAAGGGTAGAAAGACCCCAATAAATGAAGACATTAAAAAATAGCTTTTGCTTTTGTGTAATCAGAACCCTACAATAGATTGGGATCCTTCATTAAAAGAAACCAATATCGATGATGTTGACTTTATCTCGCCTCAACGGAATTAAAGGAATTAATTCTGCCTTATAAACTGCTGCCTCTTAACCTTTTCTCGTGCCATATCATTCTAGTTTGCAAAGATAATTGACAGTGTTTCAGAAGCAAGGGAGGCATCCAGATTGGATGGCAAGAACTTGTCTAGGTTATTTACGGCTTTTGCTGCTCAAGGCTCAGTTGTTTCTATGTAACCCGAAGTGCCCTGTAAAATTCCCATTGACTGCAGTGGCGCCATCTGGTAGGGCAAAGAAGGTCAAAAGGAGACCTTCTCAACCATTAATCTTAGCCAATGGCTTATTAAAGAGTAGTTCTGTGTTTCGAACAGTAGGAGACTTCCTCCTCCCCGCATAGATGCAACTGAGTAGATGCAGGTGCTTCATATGTTACAGATAGCTGTGGGGTAGAGGGTAAAAACTCTTGACCCCTCTTGTGGGGACAGGAACAAAATGAATTTCCCCTCATCCGTCCAAAGTGCCAAATTTCTGACCGAGGGGCTGGGAAGCACTTGACTGGTTTAATTGATTCATAGAGGTAGGTAGGTGTGTGTATGTACTCATCTAAATATACATGTGTGTGCTGTGCACATATGCGGAGAGAGAAAGGGACACCTTCTCTGCAATAATGTCAAACAAGCTATCTTAACACCATATTGCAGACCAATATGTAGTGCACACATATCTCCCAAGGTGCTATCGCTCATGGATTAAAATATACCACTTGCAAAAACAAAAATGCATGCAAACTGAGTTATGAGTTGTTTCCTCCCTATCGTGAGCTCCTATATTTTGGAGATGTTTCGGATCTGAAAAGGTCCTCTTGTATTCTATAATGCCTTTATTCAAATTGTGTAAAAATGTGCCAATCTAGAACTCAAAATCTCGAAGGTGAATGTTGGTTTTTTGGGATGGTTTAGATTTGGACTTCTGGGAAGGCTACTAGGTTTCAAGATGGTGAAAGGTTGCTCTTCTTGGATATGTCCACAGCATGGAAAGTCCATCCATCCTGTGAAGAGGTAGTATGCCTCCCTGAGACCCCAGGCAAATCGATCTCTTTCACTTCAACCCTGTTTTGACTTTGCATCTCCTTCATAGTTATGTATGCAAACTTAAATCCCCGTTTCCTACATTACCTGGTACCTCTGCTACTTTTTCCTATTTTGATTAAAAACCAGGAGTGAGCAATAAAAACAGAGGGGCACTTAGCTTGTATTGATGACCAGATCAGCTTTTAATGCCTTACTCAGAAGCAGAGTAAAATGACCAGTTAGACGTATCAAGCTGCAAACATGGTCATCTCAACCTTACCCACATTGGGGGCTATTTCCAAATCAATCCTCTAATATGGCTAAACAAAATGTTAGGCAGCCATGATGGGCTTTCTTTCATGGCTGGCTGTTTAAAATATGCCAGAGATAGTCCGATTGATGGTGGGGAAACCACCAGGGTAGCAGAAGGGCATGGCTACCAACACTGGTTTCAGACCAGAGGTGTCAAGTGCCTTACTCTGGCCTTGGGTGTTATTCCTTGACTTAAGCGTTGCACTTGGAATAGAGACTTGGCTGACAGCCCAATACACTTACTGGAAACACCAGTGTACTTTGGATCAAACTCCAGTTGCTTTTTTAAAACAAGTGGATTGTACATGATCAACTAAAGGTTTAATACCAGCAGTTCCCTGAACCACTAATTGGTATTAGACTGCAATAAAACGGGGAATTAACACTAAGCACAGCAGTTGAGAAGGTGGCTTTCTGGGAAGCCTAAAGGCCAGGGAACGGAATTAGGAAGCCGACAGTTGGCGTTCTAGCTCACAATGTTAACCAGAAACAGCTTTACCTGCTGCATATTTTTTGTATAATATGGAAGTGCTACCTCCATCTTCTTTTTCCTTCCTCTCTCTCCTCTGTATGTATCTGGAGTGATTTCCGTCTTCCTTGTGGGAACTAAGAGTTGATTGTTTGCTCTCCCAGATCAGGCACTGAAGTATATAACTTTTTGCAGGAGTATTCCTACTATATTTAATCAAGTGCTGTTTTGTTTCTCAATGCAAAATGTAACATTTTAATCCTCAATTCACAAGATGACTGTTTCAGACGATTTTGGATTTAATCCCACTGATTTCTGGCAGTTCGAACTGTAATAAGAGTTGCCCCGGTTTGCACATTGTCACCCTATCTATACTTGCGTTTATTTTTTTCTAATCTACATTTGTGTGCATTGACTTGTTTAAAAGCTCTGAAAGTTTATTTTAGGAGGAAGTACGTTTGTTACCACAAGATCAAATTTGACCTTTTATTTTGTTTTTGTTATATATCACCCTATAAATGTTGAACAGTTTTATTTTGCATTAAAATAAAGGCTTTAAGAACAACAGCCAAGTCACGCTTGTAATCTTTTGCTCCTTTTCAGCCCCTCCTGCCGTGATCCCCTTTTACCTGGAATATGTTCCGCCTTCTGCTCGCTGTATGGACTCTGCTTGCCTTATGGCAGAGATTTTACAAGATATGTGTGAATTGTTTCAAATGCCAATTGGTATGCATCCTTTGAACCTCTTAAAATTCCTGAGTGGGAGGGAGAAATATATTACAGTCACCCCTTCACATTCACTGGGGTAAGGGGTGCAGGACCTCCATGAAAGTAGGGGGGAAAGGCTATTATTTTTACCTGAGATAACATTTCTGTTGGACCCTTCTCCAGCACAACTTCCAACAAAATCGCATTGGAGGACCAACAAATGCCTAGAGAAGTGTTCTCCTTGGGAATCTCTAGGTCCTGCAGTGCAACCCTCACATGGAAGTTGACCAGAGAATCAAATTTATGAATACGCTATCAAATCTGCAAAAGTAAAACAGTGTGTCTATGCTATTAGTCAAACTGAGCAAATTCTTCCTTTTTCAAAATCAGGTAACTGGATTACTTTTCTTCTGATTGTATAAATGCAAAATGCTAATGCAGAGCTTTCAAAACATTTCCGAACATTTTAGTGACATGATTTTTTTTTGTGACATAGTAATTGAGTTTTGCTAGCAAAGTAGAGGTTAACCCAATCCTTTATAAGATTTATGGACACATACATTGTGTTAAGGTATCTCATGAAAACATTTTATTTATATTTTTAACAATATATGATTTCCAAGATTTTTGTCATTTCTCTTTATGTTCACACCTACACACTAAGTCCACACTGCCAGATGATCTGGCATAAACAGAAAACCTGGGATCCGATCCTGGGATATAGAGCCTGTCTGGAAAGGCCCTCAGATAATCCAATTCAAGTAAAATAGTGGATTATCTGCTTTGATAATCTGGATTACATGGCAGTGTAGAAGGGGCCAGAGATGAATTTAAGTGCAGACTTTTGTACCATTCACATACACACCACTGCTGCTCCAAGGTGTTGGGTTTCATCCCTAGACTGTACATTTTTTGTGTCATCAAGTTTCTTGTCCTCAATGAGTAGCTAGACTAGAGACAGGGCTAAAATGAGGGATTCCTTCCCCCACATTTTTATGCATGTTTCCTTAAAAGGCTTAATCTTTCCTCTTCACTGCTAGCCACTATCTCCTCGCCCTTTATTTGTTTGTTTGTTTGTTTGTTTAAATAAATACATACATACATACATACATACATACATATACATACATACATACATACATACATACATACATACATACATGATGTAGTAATGGAATTCTGTGAGGGAACTTCCTCTTAAGTTTAAACTGCCCTGGGTTGACTATGTGGTCTCCACCATTTTAGGGACTTCTGCTTTTCTTTCTTCCGGTAAGGACACATTTTGCCTCTCTCTAGGCAAAATGTAGCTGCATGGACCTTTTACCTTTTTTAGAAGATGAGATTTAGTAAACTAGTTAGTTCCAAGACCTTTTCTACCAAGAATGTATTTCTTTTACTTCAATAAATATTTTTGAACCTAAAGTTCTGACCCTGCAATCCGAAGCCATCCTGAAGAATCAAAGCCTATCCCATCTCACCACATGCAAGTTTCAGCTGGTTAAGAAGTTTACTCCTAGTACTCTGCTATATTTATGGTGGAATTGACCCAGCTGAGGGTTATTTTTGAACCTAACATCTCAGATTCCCCCAACACAAGGATAGACACACATGGCATACACATGGGGGCACACAAACCATTTTGCTGCCCTCACAATCCTTCCCTCCTTTACGGTGCCTTCTCAATAGCTTGCACTGACATCTGTCACTGCTGGGTAGAGTTCATGGCCTTTTGCTACTGCTGTAATACATACTACAATACAGATCAGAAGCCAGGCTGGCACTGGGACTATAAGGAGGCTTTTCTTTTGAAGAACAAGGTAATTGAGAATTGGATGTAGTCTTCTTAGTGGACATCCATATCACCAAGGCAAAGGTTAGGCTCTACACAAGTGCAGGAGGACTCAAACCCAAATCCTAGCTCAGGCAGAAGCCCATGGATGTGAGTTGTTTTTGGAAACATTCTGCACATGTGCAGCTACCATGTCCATTCAACTGAATGAACACAATGCTATGCTACCACTAATCTATATAAATAAAAATGTAATGTTTGTTTGTGGGATTAACATAACTCAAAAACCACTGATACCAAATTTGGACACCATACACCTACTAACCCAAGGAGTAAAGATCACTCCAAAAAATTGATTTTGTCATTTGGGAGTTGTAGTTGCTGGGACTTCTAGTTCACCTAAAAACAAAGAACATTCTGAATCCACCAACGATGGAATTGAACTAAACTTGGCATACAGGACTCCCATGACCAACAGAAAACACTAGAAAGGTTTGGTAGGTATTGACCTTGAGTTTCGGAGTTCACCTACATCCAGAGAGCACTGTGGACTCGAACAATGGTGAATCTGGACCAAACTTGGCACAAATACTCCATATGCCCAAATGTGAACACAGATGGAGTGGGGGGGGGGGGGGGGCAAGACCTTGACATTCGAGAGTTGTAGTTACTGGGAATTATAGTTCACCTACAATTAAAGAGCATTCTGAAACCAACCAACAATAGAATTGGGCCAAACTTCCCACACAAAACACCAACGACTAACAGAAAATACTGTATTTTCTGGTGATCTTTGGCAACCCTTCTGACACCCCCTCATGACCCACCCAGGGGTCACAACCCCCAGGTTGAGAAATTCTACCTTAAGGCCATCCAGTTCAACTCCCTTCACCAGGGCAAGAAAACATAATCAAAGCCCTCCTGACAAAGAGACATGCAGCCATAGATATAGATAGATATGATTCACACACACACACACGTATATGCATATGACAATATAATATCAGAGATGGTGGTTCTCAAAAAGGCCTGGTGCATTATTTAAACTGTTATGTTTATTCATATCATGATCTGATCACCATACTCAATATATCCCATATGCATGGGGATATTGGGGTAACGATACAAAAAGTTTGCTAGGGTAGACCCTCTTTCACTCAGACTCAGCCCCCACCGAACCAAACTCAGCCCCCCCCCCCCCCCAAATCGAAATCCTGGCTACGGGCCTGGTGACGCCTAAAGAAGGACAATAATATGTTGAATATTCCAGAGTAGGCAAACCAGACAGTCTCTACATCAACACTGGCAAAGAAACAGCAAGAAGTACTGTTTACCCACAAGCATAAAAAATTACGTATATTAGAAACCAACACGTTCTCATTACTTTATTTTCCAGATCAACAGACTGGGCCACAGCAACATGTGACAGGGGACGGCTAATTTCTGAATAAAAATAGTTAAGGTCCCCTTTGCCGACCCCGGCAATCAGGTTCCTTTGGGGAAAATGGTTAAATCCCCACAACTTTGCCAACTTTTTGAGAATTTGTGGCCATACAAAAGACACTATTTCAGAGGAAGGAACTGGCCAAACTACCTCTAAATGGCACTTTAAAAACCCTATGAAATTCAAAGTGTTGGCCAAAGTCAACAGGCAACTTGAAGGCACATGCAGACACATTTATGTCACACATAGAAGTTATTTCTTCTGAGAAGGGGAGGGGGAGATAATCCTATGCAGCAGCCGCTAAAGTGATATTTTCCCACTATGAATTCCATTATGAATAAAGCATTTCTTCCTTTCCAGTATGCAATGAGGAAGCTGAATGATGATGAAACCTCAATGCAGGAACATGAGAAGGTCTTCAAATCTACCAAGGTTGTGACTGTATTCATTAAAACATATTCAGTGCTGAGGAAAATCCGGGACGTATATACACAGAGTTTGACATTTATACCCAAGGCACAGGCAACATTAACTTGGGTTTAGCACATATTAAATGATAATCTGGGTAGACAGCAACTTTGAAGGGGATTTCTGTCAAGTATGTTGCACTTTTAGCTAAATCTACATAGGTAGATAAAGCGCTTAATGCTTTAATTCCCCCTTTCCGGGTTAATAATCGAAACAGATGAATCAAGAGAAATGGAAACAAGAAAGCTTTTAAGAACAAAGAATCTGGTGACTGTGCCTTTTTTATAAAAGTGACTTTTAAAATTGGCTTCTGTTTTCCTTTAGAATTTCCTAAAGAGGCTTGAATGCTAAGATAATGTAAAAATTGCAGAGGAGGCTTTTGGTTTTTTGCAGTAGTCTCCCCCCTCCCCTTCGGCAGGCTGACATTTGTATTACTAATCCCAGCAAAACTTGAAAGCACTGCAGTGCAGTATGTTCTCATTGCACAATGGAGAGTTGTGCCACTTTCACACATGACAGTATGTGACTTGGTGAACCAAGTTTTTGCTCCAACTGCATTAGGGAAAATGTAAAGTATATAAAGCCACTATCAGCCATGAAAGCCACCAGCCACCCCACTGTTAGTATGGCACAGGAAAAACACTTACTATACCTCGAAATCTGACCTGTCAAAGCTAATGGCTTTAGCCTAGACGTCTTCTCCCTGGCATGCTGATGTTCTGTAGGTAGAGGTTTTTATTATTATTATTTAAGCGAAAGAGAATTTCATCCGACTTGCGATTTGAAGAGGTACAGCTCAGTCAGGGGCTTTCCAAAGCAATGAGAAATATGCCATAAATCTCCCTGTCTTATTTTGATCTGTTCTAACTCACTTGTTGATTAGTCCTAACAAGGAAATATAATTCAAAGGAATCAGGAGGCTGGAATCATACTGTCTCAGACCAAAATGAGGGTGGCAAGAAGAAGGAAAGCACCAAGGAAGTTGGGAGGAGAGAGGAAATCAAATATCTCCAGGTAATTTGTTTAAGTTTTATGTTTCTTTTTTTCGTTTTTTTTTATTTGCCAATTGAACACACAGATCCATGCCTAATTTTGTTAAAAATAAGACATAAATGGTAAGAATCCGATCAGAAAACTTTTTGGACATAAAACAGTGCCAATTC